ATCTCAATACTTATTTTCATAAAATCCACCTACTTTCCGCTTTGATCTACCATATTGAACCATACCGCCCGCCGTTTTGGATTTAGAAAATCTAACATTAGATCTGAATTCGACGACTCACATATTTTATATGAAATAATTTTACGTTTAAATATCCTAGCTTTCAACAAATTGATAAATCGTAAGTAGTAAACAGCCAAGATCGATTGGACCTGAAAAATTTTAAGCATGATTTTTCTCACTTTTCCTGGCGATAAAAAAGTGGAATTTGGTATTGGGCAATTTCATATCATATTATCATTTAAATGAATTTATCAATTTCAGGTTACATTTTCAAGACAAAAACTACTATGTACCGTGGGCATCCCTTTTTCGAACGAATATTCTTTAAGATATTTAAATTTAAAGGGCCTAACGATCTTATACTTTATATGATAACCATAATATTGGCCTCTTTTTCTTTCTTTGATTCTGATATAATTCAAAAGTTTCATTATTGATATCTGCGAATGAAATTATATTTCTTTTTTATGCAAACCTCATGGCAAACCTTAGCTTTTACCTGATATAAACGTATCAAATTTCGAGTATCTCAATTGAACATAATTTAAATGAACAAATTTATGCAACATAAATAAAATTTATTGTGATATTGTGTAAAATGTAATATAATCATTGCAACGCATAATGACAAAGTTGTCTTTTGACGTAACTCTAATATTATTTACTTTTAAACAAAGTTTGCTCTGGAAAATTTCTGTAGAATTTTTATTTATATTATATGTATAGTGTATGCGAAAAAAGGTACTATTAAAAAGATATTAATTCTCTGAGTCTTAAATTAAATAAAATCGATTAAAAGAATTGTTTATTATTTGGCTAAATCGGAAAGCTTGATATGTAATTTATGTAAAATAAATTTTTATTTTATTTTGAACGGTTTAAAGCGTCTAAGTGATGACAAGTATTTTATGTTCTCGAATATTCACTACTTCGCAAAAAACGTAGATTGCATTTATCATTTATTGAGTTTATTGAAACACCACTACATTACATAAAAAAATAAGAGTAAGCTGATCATATTAAAATTTATATATATATATATGTGTACATATATGCATTCATATATACGTATACATACATATATATATAAAGATATATACATATTTGTACATAATACCTGTATTTCATTCATGATGTTAAAACCTCTGTGTAAATTTCTTAAGATTGTAAGTTTAATGCGTCTTTAAGAAAAACAAAGTAAAAGATTCTTGTATTATAATAGATTGTGACAAGACATAGAAGTTGCAAGAAACGGATTTTTGTAATTATTTAACTGGTTCGGTGAGAAAAAAAACAAAGAACGGTTTCGTCTTATATTACATAACGGCCGTTTAAGAATAGATATAAAAAGTATGATAATGGACCCTGTGCGAGCCTCTATTATGTATTTTATATATAAATATATAAAAACAAGTTTAATAGCGCTGAACGTTTTTAGGAGGACGAAAATCTTGTGAGAGGCTTTTTATTTTTATTATTTGTAATTATACCTAGTTTACATGTTCACCGTTTCGTACGATCATCGAGATCATAAATAAACATCTGTGTAAAGGAATAAAAGAACGATATAATAAATTACTAAATACTGAAGGAGAACATGGGAAAAATATATAGCGTGATTATTTGGGTTGTTCTTTCTCTCCATCATGCGTATGCATAAAGCTGCAAGAAAAATTATAGGAAGAACAAGGTAGAATTGTGAACAATACAAACCTTTTTCGTCTACAATCATCTACACGTACGTATATTACAAAACTATTTCAGTATAACAATTATTCTATTTATTTTATTTATCACTCAACTTTTAATTATTTTCAAAAGCTTTTGTGATTAATATATACATATATATATTTTTTTTTAATACAAAAATTTATATAAAGTATAGAAGAATTTATTGCAATACGTTGAGTTGAATGTACAAAGACTTAAAAATGTATAAGTTTGTACTTACACAGTTACCAAGATACTTTGAGTTAAGTTATTTTCATACGTATAAATATAGTGTTTTCTTTTTCAAAGGATTCTTACTCAATATATAGGATGTCCCAAAAAAGTCGGGACACCTGAACATCTCGGAAAATATAAGTTTTACAGAAAAGTATTTCAGACAAAAGTTGTAGGACTTGTAACTATTCAAAAGATCTATTTATTGATCTTATCAATTTGACGTTGGGTGGCGTCGTCAAGGTCAGGTCAAGGTCACATCGATTTTTTTAAAATGAAACATCTACTTCTGATTCCAGAATCTAATAGCTGTTATCGAGAGCTTTCCAAAACGCTATAAGAAAATACTTTTTCATTAAATACTTTTTATGATGCTTGAAAGCTTTCGTCTTGACGGATCTAAAAAGAGAAAGGTAGATATTTGGGCACGGAACTCTCTTTCTATTCTTGTCCTATTGGTCGAATTATGTTTCAGAAGAGGGAAATGTATTTTTTAAAAAAAGTCAGGAGCCATCACAGAAATATTGACTGGTACTAATGCAATACAATAATTCTAAACTTACATATTATTAATTATTAAATACAAAATAAAATTTGAAATATGGTTTCTACGTGTATTTTGTACAAAAGTAACTCTGAGGACAGATGTATCAACTTAATGCCTCAAGGCTCTTGATTACATGATTCACTACTACCCCAAGTATTGCTCTAGCTCTTTCTAGGTCTGCCAAGGTGGTTTCGATGCTAATGCTTCGCCTAGTACTATATATCGATGGTTGGACGTAACTATAGTTAGATTCATAGGTAAGAACAAATCGCTCCGGTAAACAGACTGTATTCCGAAACCTATCGGAAAAAAGTTTTGTAACCTTTCAGTGACCCACTGTACTAGAGGTCTGCAAAATATCTTCAACTCAGGCTCGAGCTCGATAGTTCTATATTTCTCAGACTTGATGTTTACTAGGAGTGGGAACAAATGAAATCAAAGAAATGGGGAAGAAAAAAGCCTGAGATTAGCTTATCGAACTTATTAGGCTCGAGAGGCTCGATACGAATTCGAGCCGTTTAGGCTCGAGACAGTACACAGTCAATATTACTTATATATATAATATTATACAGTCAATATTATTATATAATATTACTGCGCCGGCACGCACGTGAATCCTGCGTTAATGAAATTTCTCTCTCTAAATGCATTACTGGGTATCTCATTTTAACTTTGACACACACACACACACACACATCGAAATATCTGAAAAATTATAAAAGATACAGAAAAATGTTTTAGATAAAAATTATAGAGTTTAAGAAGGTCTATTTACTGATCGTACCGTTTGACAAGATTGGGTGGCATTACCAAAGTCAGAATGAGGTCACACTGAATTTTTTGAATAGCTTGTACCCAGTAGACACAATAAAGCTATAACAAAATCGATAACAAAATCTCTTCAAAATGATTGACCCAAAGTGAATCAAATTATAGTGTTTTGAAAAGATCTCGGGAAGATTAGATTATTTTATTACATTATTATTTCATTATTATATATAATGAATACTCTTTTTATTTGCAATTATTATTTTCTTTACAATATCTTAATCAAACAATTAATTAAAAATTCTGTAATCAGAGCTTTTTTATATAACACGCGTACTGTAACACGTGTCAATAGCATTAATAACAGTAATAACATCTTTTTGAACACATCTTATATTCATGCGATGCTGTTGTTTTTATAATATCGATTTTAAGAGACATTGACTGTCTCGATTCAAAACATTTTAAATCGTATCGAGCTTCAGACTAGACAGAAGCTCGAGCTTGACAAAATTCGAACTTCTAGTTTTTCAGCCGAGCTTGAGCCTGAAGTTCTGACATATTGCACGCTTCTACACTGTACATACAATCTTGCTTATACCATCACAAAATCATTCTTTTATTTCTTGAAAGTCTTGATCTCTTGGCGACATTATTTATTAATTTTCTGTTCTATCAATTTTAGATGAACCATATTAATATACTATATACAAGGTGTTTCGGATTTTTCGCCATAATTAACGATATATTAATTTTTAGAGATCGAATAGCACGGCTATCGCCAAATATAAGCGTGCGGCGAAAGGACCCACCATCGTAGGATGCTAGAAGGCACGCGAGGAGTTATCTACAAGCGGTCTTGGTAACAGATGAACTACGAAACAGACATTTTGCGTTGAACGGTCGTCGTATCAAGCCGTGTGTTTGCATTTGGCTATAGACTGGGTGGATATGCACTTATTCGGCGATCTTTAGAAATGAATATCTCGTTAATTATTGCGAAAATTGCAAAATGGTATGTTTCGATTCAGTTTAGTCCACTCTACTTGTTCACGAGCATTATCGGTAGAATTACCAGACAGTATGTATATATTGCAATATATCATCCGTATACATTTACACGATCATTAAAAAATATTTGATGTTTTTCTTAACGTATAATTATAATCTAAGTCATGTTACCAAGACGTGATATATTAAATCAATTTACGTATTTTGCTCTGCTCTACTAATATATATATTATTATTATTCTCTTCTTGTTGCAAATGTTTATAGATTAAGAGACATTGTGCATAATGTATTATATCACTACATTTAAATCTACATTGAAACTGTCTGGCGATGAATTTAGTGACCTGCAAAAGTAAAACAGAAAAGATAAGTGTCAGTCGCGCGAAACATATACAATTTATTATTTTCTCGCATCAGAAAATTCATTAGCATATATTATTAAGGGGATCCTAAAGTCATCTGTATTACCGACTAAATTATATAATTTTTGTATAACAAATAATTTTTTCTCTTTCACAGATTTGAAAATCCTTTTCTAGGATTAAAGTATACGCATTAATACGTGTCTGTGAGGTGGAATTTATGCCGAGAACGATCAAAAATTTCGAAATTGATATATATATTTTATTATTTCTTAGTGTAACATGGCATCTCAAGCTATCAAGTCGTGACAACATTTGCTTGATACGAAAGTTTTGCAACCTGTACTTACGGAGTAGTAATCCACAGACACGTACATAGTTTGCACGAACAAATAACGTCAAGTTCTTAGAATTAGACTTAGACGCTTTATCGCGATGAATTTGTTATACGAAAATTGACACGAACGTGCAACTGCATGTATCATAGGTTGCATGAGATATTGGTGAGGTAGTATATAAAGATATGTTGATGCGCTGGAAAAACAGCGACCTTTAGTAATTTCGTCGGAGTTCGGGCTTTACTTTAGGATCCCCTTAATAGCGGAAATCATCTCGCATCAAAAAGACGATAATTGTAAACGATAAAATTCATATATTTCCTACAAATGTGTGTGTGTGTGTATGTGTGCATACGTGAGTAGCGTAAAAATTATCTCGGAAATGCTAAAGGTTCTTACAAAAGCTCGGAAAGCGTTTTTGAAACATTAACTAGGTATTTACTATACTTTCTCCGTTAAGGAAACTTCTAGAGCTTTTATCTGTGTCGCCGACAGACTTGCGTTGCGAGGAAAACGTGCTGGGGCATGGCACAAAATCAGCGGAGGAGATACATTTTTCGAAAGAGGAACACCGACACTCGAGCAAAAACGATATAGGTCGATCGTGACTCGTCAGTCCCACTTGGCTAGGACCGCGCACGCATGTGTATTTGGGAATCATGTTGTACGGTTTTCTCAGCCAATCTACTTGCCTAACGGAAATTGTAATTGGCTAATTAATCAATTATAATCTATTTTTAAAACGCGTCATTCAGTCGTTCCCGCTCTACCTGAACGTGGAGGCGATACCATCGTCATTAGGGGTCTTAATATCTGATTGAGGAAGAGTTGTGCGATCTTGGAATGATTTTTGTTGAGGGAGAATCGTGGATTCTTCAGAATATCTAAATTTTGGAATGTGATCATGATAGGCAATATCCAACAAAACGAAAGAAAGCATAAAGCGGATGATTCGAAAAGAGATAAACTTGTGGTTGTTAAACATTTTTTTAGTGATAAAATACCTGCGACTTTCTTCCTCCTTTCTTGCACGGTCAAACCTCTCATTGGTGACTTGCCTACGGAGCTCACTGATCTGTTTGCTGTACTCCGCCACTTGATTCTGATACTGTTTAAGCTCCGCAGATTCTGATGATCTATAATCGAAAGATGTAAATACATGATATAATATAAAAATAATAGAAATAATATATGTATATACATACGCACGCACACACGCACGTGCGCGCGCGTGATGTGTGTGTATGTAGGAATAATGAGACATACAGTTTACTTTGAAGTTCGGAAACTTTCTGCTTTAATCTGGAGACTTCATTTTGCAGCTCTTGATTGGTAGTCTGCGCATTAATGGACTCCTGTCTAGCTTGGTTCAGAAGAGTTTCCAGCCGTTCCACAGTCACGCGATCTCTAGTAATTTGATCTTGAACAATACTCTGTTCGGCTTGCAGTCTTGACAATTGCGCCTCGTACTGTATGAGAACGAACAAGGCGATATAGACAAACTGAACCGACATGTAAAAAGTAAAAATATATTGAGAATAGAGAGTAAGTAAATTTACATGCGCTTTCGTGGTGTCCTTATCACCAAGCTGCTCCATAAGCGTATCCTTTTGTTGGTCCAACTTAACACATAGGTCCCTGACTGCCAGTAGATCGGCTTCGACTCGGTGTTTCTGTTCGATTTGTTGCTGCAGCTGCATCTCCATGCTAGCGACGCTCTGCGTCAAACTGCTTATCTAAAGAAATCATTATATGCGTGAGAATGATGAGATATTTACATCTCAAAAATTTATCGTATTGTTCTGATCTTGGTTTAAATTAAATTATTTTCAGCTGAATATATCACAATGTTAAGATGTCGTAATGAGTGCAAATACCAATACGATTCTTCGTATGTTTTCCTTGCATTAACTATAAAGAGAGCGAAATACCTGAGTCTCGTAACCCTTTATCAAACAGTCCCTGTCCGCTAATTGACGCTCAAGATCAAGTATCTGATGCCTCGCGGTTTGAAGAGCACCTCTAGCCTCCGCCGCCTCAGACTCTAAACTGTGATTGTTATTCTCCAGAACCGTCGCCTCTAAGCTGAGGCTTCGGAAATGGTTCAACATTTCCGTTCTCTCATTCTCCTAAAAAGATGGAGATAAATATAAGCGAATGTTGTTAATAAGATTCTTTCTCGATATACCTTCCGATTTAAGAGCTCCTCAGCACGACGGACTTCGCTGACATAAGTCTGCAATTGTCTCTTCAAGTCATAGCACTCGGCGCGCGAAGTTTCCAGCTCGCGTTGCATGTTTCGCATCTCGCAGGTCAACGCCGCCAGATCGTCCTGCAGTTTCCGATTCTCGTGAATTGCGTTCTCGCGATCTACCGACGCGGCCTCGAACTGTCGCTGTACCGACTCCATCTCCAGCTGCAATGACCTGAGCTGACGTTCCTGTTCCGCGCTTTGACCGATGCATATTCTACAATAATATCATTATTGCATGTTCAAGGGGGCATAGAAAAATTATATACTAAATTTAGAAAATAATTTAGGTTTTAATGAATTACATCAAATAGAAACAGAAATATAGCTTATAAGAGCCATCACGAGGTTGACGTGTAATCAAATCTTTTATTACAAAGGAATATAGTAACGACAAATGTTTCAACTCTCGATTAGAGTCCTCATCAGTGTATAATAATTATCTATATCTAATTAATGATTGATTTTAAAATTTGTTGATTGCGATTCAATCATTAATTAGATATAGACAATTATTGTACACTAATGGGAACTCTAATCGAGAGTGAAACGTTTGACGTTACCGTATTCCTTCTGTAATAAAAGATTTGATCGCACGTCAACCTTGTGGTGGTTCTTATAAGCTGTTTTTCTTTCTATTTGAAAAATTAAATATCTAGTAGATTTAGAAAAATAATAAATGATTATTTATAATCGCATAATTATTGTAAAATTATTCCTACACAAAAAGAACGGTTCCGCAGAAGTATCTAAAAATTTCGCTCAACACGGATTTGAAAATTTTATTGGATTATCAAAATAATTACGTAAGACACTTAAGCTGGTTGCTAAAATGTCAAAATTTTGTGTAGCATTCCTCATATTTGAATTTCCTATATAATTATTTTGAAAGTTCGGTAGATATATAGATTACACTGATTTGAGTGTCCTTCAGATATGTTGTAGAGGAAAGTATCCTGAATGATTCCTAAAAAAAGTTAAGTAAAGAATTGATTTAGAAGATATAATAAATTAAAGTTTTATAATAAAGAAATGACATTAATATAGGAGGTATATTACACGCGAAATGGGATCACTCCCCCCCCCCTTCTGTCTAAGGACGTACAACTTTTTACGCGAAGCGAGGTCTATCCCTGTTTATGGGGTACAGACCTATTTCATCCCGTAAGCAGGGGAGTGGATCTCGCTTCGCGTGAAAAGTCGTACACCCTTATAACTGTTTCACATGGGTCTTCAAACAGACAAACTTTATTGTTCGTAGTATATCTCATATACCAATGTATGTGTCGTCCTCTACATTATGTAACTTTAATTTACTATTATGTATCTCCCAAACCAACGCCGTTCTTCACTTACGAGTAATTCCTGTGAGGAATCACTCAGAACACTCTTCCTTACAACGTACCTAAAGGGCTCAATCGGTGAAGTGTAATCAAATGCGTTTCGATAGTTGAACAGAATTATTTTCAGATCTGTATTTAACTCGATTTTTAGTTATTTTAGCAAAATCATTCTTTCCGTGTACTTAATATAATCTAGATTGTATAATCTTTCATTGTGATTTCATACAACAATGTTTGATCTGTCTGAGATCGTTTACGGATCAGGTGTTCATTCCTGGCGCAAGAGGCGTTTCCGAAAGGGGGCAAGGGCAGCACGAACGAATTAGGCGTTCGTTATTTTCCAACTTGCACAACTCTTTCGAAATGAAGTATTTACGTGATTGGATTTTCATATTATTATTTGTACAGATCCGATTTCTCAATGCCTGTAACTCCTTAATAAATCACCGAAAGCGAAACTGTAGACGAAACATCGATCTATTCAGGCATATGCCATGTTTATGAATTAGCCGATGTATACAAATGATATTGAACTGAATAACGACATCAAATATTGTAGATGAAATTTTCTCAGAAGAACTAGATAAGAGATCTGCAGCTTTCATCACGGAAAACGTTGACGCACGTCAATCGAAAGTCAATCCCCGACTTTCGACGAGCTAACGAACGGAAACAAATCACGAATCGATGAAACTTGAGCTCCAAGTCAAAGTCTCGCGGAGGGAGACAAACGTGTAGACCATCGATCATCGATCATCCGCATCGATTACGCACGGTGCGGTTTGCGTAATCGCGAGACCTGCAACGTGGCGCGTGCGAAAATATCCGGACACCGAACGACTTTCTCTTGCCTCTCTTGCCGTTCTTCTCAGCAGCAGCAGCAATCGTCTTTCGCGGAAGATCTGATCTGAGCATGAAAGTGAAAACTAATTCCGTCACGCGAATCGAGGAAAGCATTTTCCATGGGGCAGTGACAACCTTCTAATCGGTTCGGCTCGAAAGAAAAACTATTTTTTATATTGCTTACTACTGAATATTAACTTGTAAATGACATCTGGATGCGAATTCGCATCAAAAAAATTTCCAACTTGCAGGTATTTGAGAAAATTGATTTTGCTTAAAACGTAGTTTTGAATGAATAACATTTTGTTTTTCGAAAATTCAATATTACCAATCGATTGATTAGAAAATTTTATATTGACAAACATAGGTTTTATTTTAACTTCGTTTTTATCTTTCAGAAGATTAGAAATGCATTCGGAGAGACGCTATTAACGCTATTCGTATCATTCTGTCTTTGTTTTACGTCTAAACAATGAAGATAGAATGACAGAAAGAGCGCTAATAGCGTTTCCCCGAATGCATCATAGATATAAAATATTAAAAACACCTGGTGCGAATTTGCATCCAGGTTCTTTATGCATACTCAATAGGAACGTGTCCTTTATAGGTTAATAAGCTAAAAATTTTCTAATGAACGCATTTCACATTAGAAAAGAATGCCAATTTTAATAATCGATGATAATAAAATGTTAATATTATTAGGCATCAAAATCCATTTTGAGCAAATAAGATTTTCATTTCTTCGCTTATTTATGTTATTAACATCAGTCGATTTTCCATTTATTATTATTTAAAACTGAGTACAGGATTAATAGAATTTTTAGAGCTAAATATCAGGGAAGTGAGAAAAAATGGAAGCCGCAACATCTTTAATTGGCCAAGAAATTTCTCATTACTTCGATAATACTAAGAGAAATGCTGTGCACTCCATAATCAATTTTCTCATGGTTTGATCACGTGCGTATCTTTAGCAATTCGTCCGTTACGCCTCAGGACGGATTATCATGAAGCGATAATGACGATAGAAATTATGTCACGGATGTTACAGAAGAATGCATTTTGCGGTGCCCAAGGAAATGTGATTTTTATTTCTACAGGCTTACGACAAGAAATATAAATTTCTCCTCCACAGACGGCGGAAGTTTTATCGTAAGCAATACACTAATGGTGCTTGCAGTAAATGCTGATTCCGGTAATAAGTTACCAGTTTTTCCACGTTTGTATTTCCCGACATGGAAGAGTTCCGTTTGCGAGGCATTCCGAAACTATAAATAGAAATTAGAGATGTATAAAATCAAACATTTATGAGATAGAATCGAATAAAATCTTTGATATGTTTGGAAATAAATCGAATCGCATTTGAAATTTTTACGTCGAATCAAATCAAGTCGAATCTTTCTTATTCGAAAACAAATCGAATTTAAATCAAATTTTTCTACATTTATATTAAAAGCTAATTTAAAAGTAATCAATTATTTTCAATAACTTAGATTTTTGGAATAATTGAAAAAATAAATCATTTTCAATTTACGAGAATTATGTATACATGAAGCAAACAAAATAGGCGATTAATTTGAAATCGAAGTATCGATGATTCGAAATTTTGAACTTATTCAATTTCGAGCCTCAAATTTGAAAACAAATTGAATCTACTATGATTCGACTCAATTCCATTCAAATTTGAACTATTCGCATACCTCTATAATATAATATTACTATATAATGAGAATTAGTCTTAATAATTTAAAAAAATGGAAAACTGTATTATTATAGATTGGCTCCAAATACTATTCGTCATTTAATTATCGGTCTTTGTTTATATTTTTGACTTCTTAAATATTCATGCGTCTTACTCTCTCCTTCTTCAATACTAGCTTAAAAAGAAAGTTCATGACGATATAGTGCAAAAGGAAAAGTGCCATAGAAAGCATTGCAAGTGCTCTACAAACACTCTTTTAATGCATGCAAGGATGCTCCTCGCGACATCAGAATGCTTGACTTGGCAGGTTCGTATTGGGGCTTAATTATGAAATAAATCTAATTTTATACATTTTATAAAATGCACAATTCATTCATTTCTATCTGTGACAATGTAGTCATTACCGAAATTTGTGATGATTTGAATGGTAATAGTCGGTACACGTGATGCACTTTTTACCGTAACGCATTAAATGTGAAAGTTATGCACGACAGCAACAATTTGATCAACAGCAACTCGCATTTTCTATTCTATAATCCAGTCGCACACATAATAACAGCGCAAACTGTTCGAAAACCATTTAATCTGCAATAAAACTTGCATTCATATAAAAAATGAGCACCAAAAGCGAAACCTATTGTGAAAAGATGAGTCAGAGAATACATCACCTTAAAAAGGATTTACTGAACCCCCCCCCCCTCTCTCACACGCACACACGCACGATTCGCCCCCTCCCTCCCTCACTCACTCACTCACTCACTATTCTCTTTCATGATTGCCTAACAAAGTCAAAATTAACGGCAAGCGATATAAGTTCAATTCATAGAACCGTTCTAAAAAAGATACAGCCATGCATTGTAAGCATTTTATTGATTCGTGAACGACATCTATAATTTTAATCTTCTGAACACTGAAGTTTTTCTCGCTGAGAATCTTTGATTTTTAATGATCTGAAGACAAATAAATTATTTATGAAATTAACTTTAACAATTATTTATGAATGTAGCTGTAACAATACTACACTGAGAAAAAAATATATATATACATATATCCACAAGTTTAAAAAAAAATCCTTTCAAAAAGTAACGAACAGATATTTCCAATCATTTTGATCCGATAAAAAATTTGATCACATTTAATCGGAAATAAATTCAGCGAAATTTTCAATAAAATACCTGTCTTTGAACGGGTAATTCGACATCATTTACCCCCCCCCCCCCAAGGAATATAAAATCCTTGAATTAATTTTTATATAAATTTAAAAACTCAATTGTACTGTCAAAAAGATACATCTTATTTACTTCCATCGTGAAACTCTATTTTGGGGACTTGTCTGTGAAGAATCATTAGATTAATTAGAATGTGAGTGAAAGATTTCATAACGCTATGCACTTTATTCTATTTTAAAATATGAGTATACTCATATTTAAAAAACCAGAATAGAATAAAGTGCATAACATTATAAAATCTTTCATATACAAGGTGTATCCCATAATTCATCCGATAACGCTCGTGAGCAGACTAAACTGAGACGAAAAGTCCCTTACCATTTTGCAATTTTCGCAATAGTTTACCCTAGTATGGTATTGTTATTTTTGGTTACCTTCTCGCTTAAAAAAAAAAAAAAAACACTAGGATTTGTGAAATCCTGTAACTTTGTTACGCTATATTTCTGGACTGAATACGTATTTTTTAGCTCAAACGTGTGAAATTTATATCTCGAAGTTAGACAAGAGAGAGACAAATAAATATGAATCAAATAAATAATATTTTATTTTCAATTAATTACAATGCTTCAAAGAAATTTTATTGGAAAAATTCACAAAAAATGACTACTTTGGATAAAAAATTCTCAAATTTTTAAATTTAATGTTCAAGCAAAAACTAAAAAAATCTATTCAAATAATGTTTAATCAAGTTGTTGTAAGTTTACCCGATAAAATTTTAACGATTTTAAGATAAATATCTTAATTTTCGTTCATATTTTATCGGAAATTGCATTTTATCGGAAAAAAACGTTTGTCACTTTGTTGGATAATCCTGAATCCGATCAAAATTGATCGGGAAAAGCACTGAAACGGTTATTTCCGATGAAAATCACTTTTCTCAGTAAATCTTCAACTTGTTATTGTAGAGCATTGAACGAATGCTTGTCACTTAAAAATTACGCAGAAACGAAATTAAAGTTATTTGATTCTCTAGAAGCAGTTCACAACAGCTCGAAAATATGTATGCACTGCTTTTGTTACATATAGTTAACTCACGAGACCACGTAAAGGGGCATAGGTGCGTCCTTTCGAAGATTCTCTAGTTTGTACAGCATTACCGTTACAGGCAAAGGGCAATGCACGTTTCCTCGAAACCAAACTTACGTAAGAAGAGTTAAAGAGTCGAAGAGACGGTGAAAGAAGGAACCGTTGTAATTCTATAAGGTACTTGAAATTATTCGAATGGCATAATCATTTTTAGCATAGATTTTAATAAAATTATTCTTTCGTTTCTCTCTCTATACACTCCTATTTAACAAATTGAAGTGTTATACAAAGAAAAATAAACAAGAAAAGCATTTTTTTTAAGAAGAAAGAATCTGTAAAAAATTTTCCTTTTGATGAATTTATTAAATAAATGAGGTAATCCATAATGACATTACTTGAATTAAAAGTTAATGAAAAAAAAGTAATTGAAGAGTTAATGAAAAAAAAGTAATTGAAGAGTTAAAAGTTTAATTTGTTTTATTTCATGATTTCAAATTAACTTTTTTTTAAACTAAATTGAAAAACTGAGTAAACTTTTTTAACTAATAAGGATTCACGTATGTATTTTACGGATTTTGATCAGCTTTTACGTGATTATTCTGGGGTACCAAAAAATAATCCCTGTAAAGCAGTAAATTGCACTTCTGTATTCTTCGAGGAAATCGTGATTTTAGATCACGGTGACAGATCGCTTTCAAACCTCTTTATTCTTTGTTTAAACATAAATAAAATATTTGAAATTATTTAAAATTAGAAAATACATTTCCAACGGACACGAATGTATATAAGTATATAATCCGAGTACAAGATCCGTATAACGCCAACTATATAATCCTGACATTAACTTTTAAAAAATGAAATTATAAAAGTTAATAGTTACCGATAAAATATAACTATATAAAGTTAAAAAGTTAAGAGTTTAAAATGTAACTAAATGAAGTTAAGATTAATTAACTTTTTAACTTAGCATTACCCAACCTTGGTCATTAGATGTTCCTCTCTTGCGCTTTATATGTTTCTTTTTTCGTCTTACTTTCTTACTTTTTTGTGCTCTTATTTTTTTTTGTTTATCCAAAAAGTAAATTACCAGTTTATTAATTTATCTGAAGATAGAACAACCGGCTCTATACACAGTAAACCATCGTATACATATAAAACCATTTTCTGTAATGTTTGTGAACCTTTGCATTATATGATTAATCATGCGCTTTTTTAAACTGCAGTGGAAATTTTGTGCAATTGTTAAATATCACTGTAGCAACGATAGCCATTTTTTGATGAAAAAATGAATTGTCTCTAGAGTTACTTAATAATTTTATTAAATTTAAAATTTTATGAAATCGTATAAATTACTCTATGTTAAAAATAGATTTTGTTTATTAAATAAAATTTTTAAGCTTTTTCCATTTTAAGAGAGACGAGATAAAAATAATTTTTATATATGTTATAATATTAAATTATTTTATATATTTCTATAATGAATGTCTTATTTTGGATTCCAACAATGAGTTTCTCGATGTAGAATGCATGTTGCACTCATTCTTACTGAATATACATGGAATATATACGGAAAGTCCTTATTATTCCTCGACAAAATGATTGAACCCAATTTGGAATAATCTCGTAATTTCTCAAGGCCGTGGTAATTTAAGACGCTGATGTAACAGCAATTATTTCGAGAAACATGGCAATGATCCGCTCACGCTTGTCTCTTCATATTGAGATTGGATGAATGTCAAAGACAGTTATGCGTTTCTCGTTTCTGGTTTCGGCTTCAGATTTCAGGTCCAGTATCGAATTATGCAATAGTTTATAAAGAAACCCACGCACTGCTCGCAAGCCGTAATAATCACCGCTAATCGACAACGTTGTTTCAGGAAAAGTCCAATGACGATGAAAGTTCTCCTCATGTAACAGTTGTTGCGTAGAAGTGTCGCAATGATGATTCTCGAGAAAACTTTGAAGGGGCAAGCGGATAATCATGACATTACGCAAACAAAAAAGACATAAATTTGCCGAAACCGGTTTCCTTATTATAGAATTCGCCATTTTTTTTTACGGTTGCCCTAAAATGTTTATCAGATTTAAAGTTATTGCAATTTGAGCGATATGAGAGCAAATACTCTTTATGTAATTGTATCAATGATGTTTATTCGTTCAACAAATTCTTTCTGTCAAAATTTCATTCGATAAATGGAATCAAATCGTAGATGAACTCATTGGATCTACGTTTCAGACATCTCGAAATTCTACGCGTGATATATTGATGTCTCCTTCATCGCAGATGCACGGGCAGAGAAGTGAGGCATCTCATTGTTGCCGAACCGGATACAAAACGCATGCTACGCTTGTTTAAATGTACATACATCACCAAAAAAATTTTATAATGCGCACTGCGGAACCGAAAGTGTCAGGTTCCGCAGTACATATTCGTCGCATCGAATATAACGCATTAAACTTTCTATCTTTTTCTAAAAGTACAAATGTCGTATCATTGATCCAAAAAGGAGCGGACATAGATGAAAAGTTTCATAAAACAAAATGTTCAAAGTGCCACTGCATTTCGTCGATGTATATATACATTGTGAAGAAATTTTATAGATGAAGAATCAAAGTTTATTCAATTGGCGTGAATCATATCTAATTCAGATATGCAACAAAACATGAAAAACGCATGAAAAAAAAGATGTATTAAGAACAGAAGGGAGATTTGTTGAAGGCAAAATTTGCGAATTTATTTCAGGGAATAGATAAATTCAATTCTCAAGTTTAAGCGTCATTTACTACTATATATTCAGAAAATTAAAAAATTAAGAATTGTGAAAGATGCGCGTGAAAGTACAGCGTGATGCCAGATTAATAATCAATAAAATATATTTGACATCACACATTACCAAAAATTCGTTCGTTCCTTCGTACATTTTGATTGATTTAACTTCGAGCCATATTCAGCAAAGAAAAAATATAGTACGCTATCAGAAAGATTGAGATGGAGGTATTCTTTACCAGAACTAAGTTGTACCGTTCCATTCTGGTCCAAATAAAAGAATGCTGAGATGAAGGCATATGTACGTATAGATATTGTCAAAAGAAGACAGAGGAGGTGCAGAAATTTAAGTATTTAGGTTTTACTCTGAACAGATAGGGTAACTATAAAGATCACATTAAGGAATTATGTAGAAAAGGTAAGCTGATGGTCTGGGGGATCTAGGTGAGAAAATGTACAGAAATGATTTTCCCTGGATGCATTCGATATTAGTCACAGGGTTGGACGAGTGAAGGAGGATAGTCCATCCCCCGCTTTGGTGGATTCGGTTTTGGTCAAGTTAGGTAACAGCATAGAGTCGCGGAGTTGGGACGAAGGCGAGTCAGTCTCGCCAAGCCTTCTGCTGCGATAAGATCGACGACAATGACGGGATACGACGATGAGGCTTAACGCAAGATTCTGATATGGAATGCGGAGGACCGAGAAAAACGACAATTCGCGAAATAGTGGAGTGACAGAGGGTACGATCGCGATTGTCGTTAGCGAACGACAGCATCATGAGGACGCCGATAATGAGGTATGTTTCAGCGAAATTAAAATCGTTCGATAATGAAAGTCCTAGGTAGAACACAGAAGTTGATATAAGAAGGACAGTATCATGCTTTTATTTGTCATTTAATGATGATAACATTCTTCCGATATCATGACTGTTAGAAAAAAAATCTTGTATCAATTAAAATTCTGATAGATTCAATTAGAAAGGTACAAATCAGACACTTACGTCCATTTCTATCAATATATAGATTAACTTTAATCTTGGTTTTTAACTTATATTTTATCTTGTTCTGGTTCTCAAAATCAGAAAAGAACAAAAAATAGATTAAATCGAAATTTAAAATTAATCTACATTAGTAGAAATGGATATTAGGGCGATTTTGGCCAAACTATAATCAACTTAATCAACAGTTAATTCAATCGAAAGAATCATTTAAGACAAAACCTCTTCTTTCCAATTCGTTGCTCTTAAGCTTTATTAGCAACATAATTTTATTAATTTAATAATAAACTTTATTTGTATTATTTAATAAAATAGTATTGATTAAAAGTTAATCAGTACTAAAAGTTTGATCGAAGTCCTTATAATTAAATCTATCACACATTCTAATAGAGATAATCAGAAATTTAATTATGGTAATAACCAAAATTCTGATATTCGTTTGGTTTGTATTTCTTCTTGATATAACCATAACAGTTTTTTAAGTGTTCTGTGTTATACTTGAGATATTGTGCTCATGGTAAGTAGTACGTCTAATTCGGAATTGAGTAAGTGATGATTGAAATTCTCTTCGAAGGGTTAAACAAATCGACATTCATACGATCCTTTCGCTATAGTATATCGGAGTTGCAATCGGATGTGAGAGGACGATTCAGCAACGTCTGTAACATGATATCCTTGAATCCCATGGAATTTGAACTTCGCATGAAAAAAGTGAAGGAAATTGAACGAAAAGGCCATATATATCGGCTCAAGATTAAAATCGAACATGCCAAAAACTCGGAAAAAATTAAAATTAACAGAATTCGTGCATTTGTCTTCATTGAGCATCGAGCAAAAAACTACGCGGATGATTGATGTTATGTGAACGCGTTGTTTGTATTGCGTGATTTTCTGCGCGGCGTAGATCGATTGTAAGGTATTAACAGACACTTTCTTTTTACGGGAACGTAAATCCGCCACGCTTCCGAGGCGCGAGTACGCGTGATTATATAAGCACAATTCTAATGGTAATCAAAGCAATTCGAAACATCCCAGAATTCCTCGTGGCACAGCACAAGTTGCGAACGCAAACATCCACATGTGTACGCATGTAAAACGAGTGACTCGAGTAATAACTGGTTATTACAATTTAACGACACGGAAGGTGGAGAAAGTGCATCTGGTGAAGAAAGTAAAATCATGACGAATAAATAACATATAATAACGTGTCACAGAAGTGTCGCGGACTTAGCAGAATACTGTAATTTGTTTCACTATTATAATTTTGTTAAAGATGTGACATTATATATACGTCTCTTAAAAGTTGCATGAATCCAATAACACGACATTTGTCAGAATATTTTGTATCTTTTTTTCTCTTCCAATTAATAAATTAAATACTTATATTACTGAAATCAAAATTATTTTTTATATAATTCCGAATGTATCATTTAAGAGGGTAGATATATTTGAAAAAATAGCAATCAAAAAACACATTTTTAAGAAAAATAGAAAAAAGAAAGTAGAAAAAATAGAAAATTTTAAGAAACTAAATTGTTTTCTGTGTATTTAAAAAATTATGTATATATTTAAATTATATAAAATGTTATTTCTTAATATGTCTAAATATTTAAAAGAAATGGAATATATCTTTTTGCGGTTAGAAGCAAATAACTAAAAATAATTAAAAAATTTTTTTGATTCTTATTTCATTTGTCTTCTGATAGCACTTTCCAGTCTTGTAACCTTAATTTGACAAAAAAA